CTGTCACCGCGCCGGCTGCCCCTCTGACTGTCTCCACGGTGGTCTCACCTCAGCTAGTCTCCTCGATGGGATCGCAGCCGCCGCCGCCGTTTCACTTCGGCCATCTCATCACCATCAAGTTGTCGTCGGACAATTACATCTTCTGGCGCGCGCAGGTTCTTCCGCTTCTTGGGAGTCACTATCTGCTTGGCTATGTCGACGGCTCTCTCCCTTGCCCTCCTGCGCTGGTTGACAGCGTGCACGGTCCGGTCTATAATCCGGCTCACCGTGTCTGGACAGGGCAGGATCAGGCGAACCTCTCCTCCATCCAGGGGTCGCTCTCTCCGGCCGTTGCTGGGCTTGTTGTCTTCGCCAAGACGTCCCACGAGGCATGGACTATTCTTGAGCGCTCATTTGCGGCACAGTCGCAGGCTCGTGTATCTGGGCTCCGTCGCCAACTTGGGGAGTGTCAGAAGCTTGACTCCACCGCCACTGAGTTCTACAACAAAGTCAAGAGTCTCGCCGACACGCTGGCCTCCATTGGACAGCCCCTCACCGACTCCGAGTTCAACTCGTTTATTGTCAATGGTCTTGATGAGGAGTATGACGCCCTAGTCGAGATCATCAATGAGAGAGGCAACTCCACGCCCATGCCAGCACACGAGGTCTTTTCACGCCTCCTGCTTACTGAGCAACGAGTCGAGACGCGCCGATCCAGGGGCAACGGCGCCCTCTCGGCAAACGCCGCCACCAAGGGTGGTCGCTCCTCTGCTTCATCCAGGGCTCCTTCGGGGCAGTCACCACCACCCGCCTCGGCCCCTCCTCCTACTGCGACGCTACCAGGGGCTGGCGGTCCACGTGTGTGCCAGCTTTGTGGTCGCGATGGGCATTGGGCCTCGAAGTGTCACAAGCGCTTCCAGCGGGGTTTTCTTGGTCTCGGCAATGACGGGAAGGATACACGCAACTTTGCTCGTCAGGTCGCCATGGCTGATCGTCCGCCGCCGCAGAAGCCACAGGGACACACTCAGTCCTACTCCATTGATCCCCACTGGTACATGGACTCTGGGGCGACAGAGCACCTGACCAGTGAGATGGGGAAGCTTCACACTCGTGAACCCTACCATGGCTCCGACAAGATCCACACCGCCAATGGAGCAGGTATGCACATCTCTCATATTAGTCAAGCATCACTTCTCACTAGACATGCCAATAGGAGTCTTCAACTTCGCAATGTTCTTCGAGTTCCATCTGTGACACGTAATCTTCTTTCAGTTCCTAAACTCACTCGTGATAATAATGTGCTTTGTGAATTTCATCCTTTTGATCTTTTTATTAAGGATCGGGGCACGAGGGACATTCTTCTTAGTGGGCGGCTCTGCCAAGGTCTCTATCGTCTGGAGCATCCTGGCGTCGCTCGCGTCTTCAGTGGAGTTCGGGTATCTCCGTCACAGTGGCATGCTCGTCTTGGTCACCCGGCCACACCTATTGTCCGGCATGTTTTGCGTCGTCATGAGCTTCCTAGTGTGTCTAGTAATAAAGATGTAGCAGTGTGTGATGCTTGTCAGCAGGGGAAGAGTCATCAACTTCCTTTTTCGAAGTCCAGTCGTGAGGTGAAACATCCTTTAGAACTTGTGTTTTTAGATGTATGGGGTCCTGCTCAGACTTCTGTTAGTGGTCATAATTACTATATCAGTTTTGTTGATGCTTACAACCGCTTTACCTGGCTTTATCTTATCAAACGTAAATCTGATGTGTTTGACATTTTTGTTCAGTTCCAAAAACATGTTGAACGCCTTCTCAAGCACAAAATTGTTCATGTTCAGTCGGACTGGGGTGGCGAGTATCGCAACCTCAACTCCTTCTTTCAGTCGCTTGGGATCACTCACCGTTTAGCATGTCCACATACACATCAGCAGAATGGTTCAGTAGAACGTAAGCATCGTCACATTATTGAAGCTGGTCTGACTCTTTTGGCCCATGCATCTGTTCCGTTTCGTTTTTGGAGTGATGCTTTCACCACTGCATGTTTTCTCATCAATCGTACTCCCACTCGTGTTTTGAATATGAAGACTCCCATTGAAGTTCTCCTTAATGAACAACCGGACTACACCTTTCTCAAGGTGTTTGGGTGTGCTTGCTGGCCCCATCTCCGTCCATATAACAAGCGTAAGCTCGAGTTTCGTTCCAAGAAGTGTGTTTTTCTTGGTTATAGCTCTCTTCATAAAGGATACAAATGTCTTCATGTGCCAACTAATCGTGTCTACATCTCTCGGGATGTTGTGTTTGATGAGCATGTTTTTCCCTTTGCCAAACTCCCTGTGTCCACTACCGAGCCACCTGTCATGCATTCATCCTCTGTTGCTTCTGACCAATTTGATGATGTTGCATATTCTCCTCTATTGTTGCCTAACCATGGTGCAGGCACTGGTCGTGGGGCTCGTTTGGAGATTCTGGAAGTGCCATCTTCCTCTTCGTCGCCATCGCCTTCATCCTCGGCACCTTCTGTTGTGCATGAGGAGCACATGGCGCCCCTGCATGGCCTCGGTTTCCGTGCTCATGCACGGCCGATCGACGTCCTGGCCCGGTCGCCTCTGGCTTCTGGGCTGCCTTCGCCATCGTCGCGCCCTGCAACCCCGCCGACTGGGCCGGCCTCCTCGGTCCCCGTCTCGCCCAGGGCGTCGGGGCAGTCATCACCAGGCCTGGCCTCGCCCGCCCCTGCCTCGCCCAGGGTGTCTGGGCCCTTCTCATCAGGGCCGGCCTCGCCTGCTCTCGCCTCGCCAAGGCCGTCTGGGCCGGTGTCACCGGAGCTGGCCTCGCCCACTCTCGGTTCGCCCATGGCCTCTGAGCCCCTGTCGTCGGGCCAGTCTTCGCCATGCAGCCCGGAGTCGTCTGTCCCGAGCTCGCCTGAGGTGATTCCTGCATCTCCGGCGACCGTCACGTCTCCGTCACCTTCGCCTCCGCCGGCTCCTGCTGCTGCTCTACGTCCACATACGCGCAGTCGGAGTGGCATTTTTCAGCCTAAGCAACGTCACGATGGCACAGTTGCTTGGTTAGCGGCGTGCATGTCTGCTGCTCTCGCAGATTCATTCTCTGAGCCACGCACGTATCAAGCTGCTATGCGCATTCCTCATTGGAGAGAGGCCATGGAGCAGGAGTATCAAGCGCTTCTTCGCAATCAGACATGGACTCTTGTTCCTCCACAATCACGGGTAAATGTCATTGATTCCAAATGGGTTTTCAAAGTGAAGAGGCATTCTGATGGGTCCATTGAGCGCTATAAGGCTCGTCTGGTTGCTCGTGGTTTTCGACAGCGTTTTGGACTTGACTATGAAGACACCTTCAGTCCAGTGGTCAAGCCTACTACCATCAGACTTCTTCTCTCTCTGGCTGTTACTCGAGGTTGGTTTCTTCGTCAGCTTGATGTTCAAAATGCTTTTCTTCATGGTGTCTTGGCGGAGGAGGTTTACATGCGCCAGCCTCCGGGTTTCTCTGATCCGGATCGCCCTGATCATCTCTGTCGTCTTTCCAAGGCAATTTATGGTCTGAAGCAGGCTCCTCGTGCTTGGCATGCTCGTCTTGCAATGGCTCTTCGTGCTCATGGTTTTGCATCATCAACTGCTGACTCCTCATTGTTTCTTCTTCAAAGGCCTGAGGTTACTATGTACTTGTTGGTCTATGTAGATGATATCATTTTGGTCAGCTTCTCTCAGTCGGCTGCTACTGCGCTTGTTCGCTCACTTGGTGCTGATTTTGCGGTCAAGGACCTTGGGAAGCTTCATTACTTTCTTGGTGTGGAGGTTACTTCTCGTGCTGCTGGCCTTGTTATGACGCAGAAGAAGTACTCTCTGGATTTGTTGCAGCGAGCTGGGATGCTTAAGTGCAAACCGACGACCACACCCATGTCTACCACTGATAAGCTCAATGCTGTTGATGGTGTGCTTCTTTCTTCTTCTGATGCGACAGAGTACAGGAGTATTGTTGGTGGGCTCCAGTACTTGACGATCACGCGACCAGACATTTCCTATGCTGTTAACCGAGTCTGCCAGTATCTGCAGTCACCCCATGACACTCATTGGTCTGCTGTTAAGCGGATTTTGCGCTATATTCGTTTCACGGTGGCTCATGGTTTGCATATTCGGCCGTCTGACTCTGGTTGTCTTTCAGCATATTCTGATGCAGACTGGGCTGGCAATCCGGATGACAGGCGATCCACGGGGGGTTATGCTGTCTTCTTTGGCTCTAACCTGATTGCCTGGAGTGCTCGGAAACAGGCTACTGTCTCGCGTAGCAGTACTGAGGCTGAGTATAAGGCTGTGGCCAATGCCACATCAGAGATCATCTGGGTACAGTCCTTGCTTCAGGAGTTAAGTATACCCCAATCACAGCCTCCTGTTCTTTGGTGTGATAACATCGGTGCTACATACCTTTCTGCAAATCCGGTATTCCATGCCCGAACGAAACACATTGAAGTTGACTATCACTTTGTGCGTGAACGTGTCTCTCAGAAGCAACTACAGATCAAGTTTATTTCTTCCAAGGATCAACTTGCTGACATCTTCACCAAGCCATTGCCTTTGCCACAGTTTGAGACTTGCAGGCGCAATCTTACCCTTCTAGATTCATTAGAAAGTGGCTAAGATTGAGGGAGGGTGTTAGACTGTATTTACATGTGTATATTGTAACGTTGTATATCACCTCATTATATATATATGTGATAGGCCACCCCTAGAGGGTTGTGCCGGTTCCCCCCAAAGCCTATTGTCTTACACTGTGCATGCGTATTTCATTGTTTTTACGTATCACGAAGGTCCTTTATTGTTACGTAACTTGTCATTACACACACAAGCACAACAGCTCCGTTATTCTGCGGGGTAGGTAGCGAGAGACGCATGCATGTTGTCTATCCGGGACGGTCCACATGACATCGTTTCTTCAGTAGATACGTACGTACGCATGTGTGGATATCTCGATCTCCCCGCGTACGTGCACGAGCCATGCATGGCGCGCGCTGGCTGGCTGGCTCAGTAGTACGGCTGGAGCTTCCAGCGCTGGTTGTCGCCCTCGCACCACTTCCAGAGCACGACCTCGGTGCCGTCGCGCACGCCGCCGTGGTACTTGTCGCCGTTGAGGGCGTCGAAGTTGAGGTAGATGTTGTTCACCATGCGCACGCACCTGAACCCGTTGCCCACGTCCCTGCTCTCCGTCCACAGCACCGACTCGTCCAGGTAGTCTGGGTTGTACGGCACCAGACGCACCTGCATGCACACCAAGATGATTCTAGATTTCAGTTTATGAAAACACAAATGAATGAAGGCAGCAGAGACTACTTACAGGGTGTGACTGGCCGAGGGAGTGCTTGATGGCCTGCCCGGTGGCCTTGTTCACCATGGCGAAGGCGGGGTAGCCCTCCTCGTCCTTGATGCTGGTGCTCCACCTCATGTCCTTGATCCAGTGCTGGTAGTCGTCCTTGGGGTTGGCCGGCGCCAGCACCACCTTGCCGTTGCGCACGGACATGGCGTAGTTGGGGTTGGCGCGGCAGTAGATCTTCACCGTGGGCTGCGGCGGCATCGGCCGCCCGCCGCAGTTGCCGTCGATGTTCACCTGCGACATGCCGTACGGCACCGGCGCCGCGTACCCGGGCGTCGCCATCCCGTACCCGCCGTAGGTCTCGCGGTAGTAGTCCATGGCTATATGCTCGATCTCCTGATCGACCTGCGCAATGCATGGCGACGGGACGGAGGAATTTATAGGGGCGACGGGACGATCATATTCCATTGGTGTGCTCTAATACATGGCGTTGGCCTCACGCTGCCTGTCATGGTGATAAGCGATGTGGATGTGCGGGGTGGTGGTGGGATTCCATGGAGCGATTCCGTGGGATAGACAGATGATGCCATGGGACACTAGCTAGCTAGGTGGTGAGATGTGGGTGTGCCGGACCAAGCTAGAGCCTGAGCTGGCTAGCTTTGCGTGATTCGATTTCTTTCTGGTAGTTTTGGGAAGAAGAATCCCTCTCGTACGTACGTCCTCTATTATTGCTGGGGAGATAGCTAGGGGAAGCCGAATTTTACTATGTGCTGTGCTTTGTCGCCGCACCGATACATTCCCGGTGTGCTCATGATGTGCTCGTTTCAAAAGTGAAGATTTTTCTCCCGAAGAAAACTCTAAAGAAAAGAAAAGGAAATATTCGCGATAGAAATGGTAAGGTAAAGCGTCAAGACGGAACGGCCCATTTCTGGAATCTGGATCAATAATTCAATATACTACCCCCCGCAGCACCAGAGAGAGGCGGGCCGGACTTGATTTCGTTATTATGTAAATTAAACAATTGTACGTGGCCCGGCAAGACATATGGCATTGGATTCGTATAATCATGGCCCGGTCTACCAGCATGGCCCAGCGCAAGACAAGATCTCAAAAAACAAAACTTACCGGGGCATGCGGATTAACTGAGCTCCAGCTCGGGTGAACAGTAAAATCCAAAAGAATTTAAAACAAATTAAATAATTCTAAAAAAACTGTGGCAACATTTGACAAATGTTTAAATGCCTGCAAAGTTTCACCATAAAATGAGATCCGTGCAAGTTGTAGCAAAACAAAACCCCAAAATCAATGCTCCAAAAAGTTTTTTTCTAAGTGACTATTTTTTTTTGCCACGACTTCATGAAACATTGCAAACATTGAAAATATTTGTCAAAGTTTGTCACACAAAAATTTCAGAATTTTTTGCTTTTGTTTTCATTTTTTTTTGGATTTTACTGTTCACCCGAGTTCATATGAGTTCGAGCTGAGAACGGCACTTTCGCTTATGAGGTTGTATAGTTCAATCAATTTTTCAAGACCTTCAAGATTAGTTTAGTTTGAGCTGATATGGTCTTCTGGCAAAGGGCATCTTCAACGCTGAAAGGGCATTTTCAACGCTGACTCCCAAATCGGACATACCAAATTCGTCCGTGGACTGGTGGGTATCATTCTGTGGAAAGTGATGCGGGAGCCAGTCATTCAACCGTGCCCGCATACATCTCAAACCGGATTTCAACAAACCGAAGGAAGTACACGCAAATCAAATGATTTTCATCTAAATTGGAGCACATTCATTACATTTTCGTCATATTTTCATTAAACTAGCATTTACATGTCAATGCCTCTTCTTATTCCCTTTTTTTGGAGTCCTTTTCAACATGTTTTGTGTATTTTATTCTCACGGTGGCAACTGAATTTTGAAGGAAATTTGTAGATTGCTTAAGTGGCAATAGTATGGAAACAAAATCTAGGACTTTTCATGACCAATTGCCCTAGTTCTTTAGAATGGCATCATTTTATTTCTTCGGGAGCTTTCGAATGGTATCATGGTGTAATGTAAAGGCTAGTATCACTACAAGGAGGTTGCTATACATGGCATACTCATTGCAAAGAGCACTTTCCCTGCACTTGTTCCTGTGGAAAACTTGTCTTGCAAATCGTTAAGGCCTTGTTCGGTTCCATGATAAATGAGAGGGATTGACATGTATCGGCAG